TTGGGCTTCAGCAAAGAATCTCTCTTATCATTGACCAAAGGAGTCAACCAATTATAGGGTAACCTCTCAAAACTCTCAAAACCTTAAAACATAACTCACAACTTAAACCAAATGAATTCAATTTCACCTGTAAGGTGGATCTGGTCAGTACACATGGATGTGTCTTGCTGAATTCAGAGACAAAATCCTATTAAATAAAAATATATTAATTAGTATGAAAATTGCATCCAGGATCATTCATTTTGGTCTTCTATCACCTTCCTCAGTGCTAAAAATATGTTACTTTTAATTTGTAAACATTTTTAGCATGTTCTCATGAAGGTCAACAGAGTAGACCAAGAAAATGTCTAGTGATTAAAATTACTTACATGTAATATGTATCCAAAAACAATTATTTTGAATCTCTTTGACAATTGTAGTGCCCTCCTATTCAACCTTTTACAAACCAAGGCCAGTTAGATGAATACTTACAATAATCATATGCAAAGGAGTATATTCCACAACTCCACAAACATGGATCAGTCTCTTGACAACCACTTGTAAGTAGTCTACAGCCTGAAAACAATAAAACACCATCAAACTGGTAGACAGTGGATGATTAACAACCTGGTCTCCTGGGTACCTGCCACTATACTAACTGTCCTTTCTGTATCCTTCTGTGATTAACATAAATTGTCATAATCTATCCCTATTTAGTATATAAAATAATGACACTTACTGCTTCTCTACCAAATACTGATACATAACGAGGGAAGGATGGTGGCAGAAGACGCTGGTTCACAAGTGGCTCAAAGCCCAACATTTCACCTAAAAAATTAAAAAATTAACTTGAGACCAATTTGGAACAAGTTTTCAYATCCGTAATTGTAAGGTCTCTTGATAAYTTATTTTTAATGATAAGCATTATTGAAAACAGYCATACATAATTAATGAGTTATTAGGCCAATAGAATGAGCCTAATTGCTTACATGCATAAAACACTCCTTATTAGGTAAGTATTCTTTAAAAGAATACTAATAAGGGTGAACTTTATCAGATATAAAGGTCCATGCATGTAAGCAAAGGTCTCAGGTTTGATACCTGATCATCGACCAATGCAGGATGTCAACCAATTGCAGTACAACAGCCATCAATACTTCTATTTTACTTATTATGCGTATTCAATGTGGGATGACAAGAGTGCTTTGTAAAGTGATTTGAGCATGGTCAGTTTGCCCCATTTATCTCTGAACATATTTGTACGACAATTTCTCCAAGAATTTTAACAGATTTGAGTTTCAAATTAGTGTTGGAGTTTTTGAAGCCATTTCAAACACTCGAGATCGTGTTTTAAACTATACACAGGATGTTATATGGACACATGGAGTTACAGATTTTATCTTCAAGTGTTGAAAAGATGCAGTTTGTGGGTAGGAATACAACTACAACTGGAGGACAAAACAATAGGTTCTAGTTACCAAGGGATACATGTACCTTTCTCTAAATCTCCATGTGTACCAAGCTCAATTGTTTTTTTAATAGGATCAACTAAGGTCAATGCTGTATTAAGAAGCTGTTTTGCTGTACTCACACCACTGCACTGAAACAAATAACAACAAGATCTAATGATATATGTACTTTCACGGCTTTGTGGTGCAGTCAATAGCATGTTACAGTCTGACTGTAAACTAGTATGCTGGCAGAAGGTGTCTGCACACTTCCAATAATAACTATCATAATGATTACATAAATTATGAAATTTGGATTATTTACAACTAAACCTACATTTTATGATTTAATTTTGACGTGTAAATTTATTGGTCAAGTATTTCTAAAACAATACACAGTAACTTACTTCATGTTTATCCAGAGCCACAATAGAGCAGTAAAAAGCCTTTAAAAACTTGAGTCTTGCAAGGATGGCTTCATTCTTCTTTATTTCTGCCTGTTGATTTACGCAAATAATGACAATACAAATACATACATTTCAATGCAGAAAAATATAAATAAATATTATTAATAATTGTAGGATGTTGACAATGATGATAATGTATAATTATGTATTGATGGTTGTAATGGTATAGTTTAATTTAATTTAATTTAATTTAATTAGTTGTGCAGTTAAAAACAATTTACTAACATTATGAAATGTGAAATAGTAATTTTACTATTAATTAAATACTATTACCCCCTATTAGCTCCTGGCCAATAGTTTAACTTATGACATGCGACAAACTAATTAGGCAAATATGATTATGATTTTGCCTTTTGGTAGCCTACTACACCCTTCTAATAGTTACTATTACAGCTGTAAACACCAGACTAGTAGTAAGTGTTAATTCACAGACGGATGAAATGMCTCTAAAATCAATCWTGTAATATTGTTGTCTCAAATTGTAATTTATTTTGTTAAATATGATGTCTAAAGTTAATAACCTTCCATCGTTTTCTGTCAGTTTTTGTCTAGTTTAGAAGGATACCAATTAATTTCTTTTACACTGATTAATCTCATATCAAGCAGGTCTATAATAGGACAGGACTTCAATATTACTAAAACTACTAGAGAACAACAACTAGAATGTTGGTGAAATTTGAGGCTGTGCTGGATGACATACTCCTTTCAATAATTGATGAATTATTGGCTAAATTAATCCTTTTTCTGYTTAAATATTAAATATTTATTGTAAAACATATTTTTTGATAAAACTTTAAATTGTGAAGAAAGACTTTTTAAGATGATATAAAGAATATCAAGTACTGTCTGGAGCAATATCTATTTTTAAACACAGAGCATAACTGTATGAGAATGCATGGCTACTGGTACTGAGTGTGCAGTATGTACTGTAAGAATGCATGGCTACTG